AGGATCAGCAGTGTTACCAAACGCCAACCTTTCCTCTCCTACACAGGGATGAGGGTAAAAGTGAAATACACTCTCTAACCAAAGTAGTTATGAGTACCACAACCTGCACAGTCTCTCTACACTAATTTCCAAAGTGCTAAAAAAAAAAAGTGCAAGGATAAGAATAAGATACTTTCGTCCTAATTTGAAATCACTTAGCTGTTCTCTAAGTTTCGGGAGAAATCTGTCTAAAAATTGCCCCCAAAACTCCAACAGAAGGAATATTAATGCAGAAAAAGTATAAAAAAAATTAAAAATAAAATAAAAATGATTGCAAAATAGTAAATGTTCTTGTGTAATTTTACCGTTTTTTTTTTTTTTTTTTTTTTTTTTATATACAAACCCAACCGTCATTTTATTTTAATTTAATTTCGTGAAAATAGGGCTAAAAACAAAAAAAAAACCTATGGTACCGTGTTGTTGTCTCTTAATTGGAGAAACATACAGTCCAGAAGAGACTTAGTGAGAAAATTGCAAGTACAATGCTTTTGTTTTGTTTGACAAAAGAAAAGCTTAAGGATCCATGGTATTTTTTTAATTTTTTTTAATGTGGTTATCGTAAAAAAAAAAAATGGAGTATTATTGCTTCTTTCATCTATTCAGACTTCTTATATTTCGAAAACCGACCCTAAACTCTTCTTGTTTCTTCTCTCACTCTCTGTTATATAATCAAGACTGGACGGTGGCGAGGCGGGGAATGAAGTCGGAGAGGGTGTCGAGAGTCGTAACGTTGGAAACGGTTATATCGTCTTGAAGAATTCTTATTTCTCTGCAATGCCATCATCCCTTCTCGTGCCTGAATAATCATTTAAAATCTCGTAATACATTTCAACGTTTCTTCACTGACCGCTTCTATATGGATTGTTAATCTGATTGTGAAACCAATTCCAGAATTACTTGGGTTGGATGGATATTCTGTCAGACGTGTGTCGCACATTAAATGTTTTTTTCTCAGTTTTTTTTTTTTTTTTTTTTTTTTTTTTGCTATTAAGACTAGAAAGAACGCATATTTTCTATGTCTTAACTTTGTAAAAGGCTTGTTTTTGTTCTCTTGTGAATTATTATTGCAAATTAATCTCGAACCAAAAGCTTGTGAAAATGTGATTTAAAGGGGACAGTCACGACACAGACAATATAAACACGCTTTCGGCTTTATTAAACTAAAAAAACAGAGAGAGACCAGAATATTACTTATGTTAATAATGCAAATCGAGGGAAAAAAATAAACCTTTGTCTTCGAAGCCACTTTTTAAAAGAATGGACTTTCACTTTATAATTTGGCATGTGCATGTGCACTTAGTGAACAAAGTGGTTAGTTAAAATTTGATTAGTAGGTTATCGAATTTCTTAAGTTTTATTTTTTACGATTATTATTTTCCTTTTTGTGTAAACGATTTTTTTTTCTTTTTTCTTTTCTTTTTTTTCTTTTCTTTTTTTTCTTTTCTTTTTTCTTTTCTTTTCTTTTTCTTTTTTTTTACTTTTCTTTTTCTTTTTCTTTTCTTTTTTTTTCTTTTCTTTTTTCTTTACTTTTCTTTTTTTTCTTTACTTTTTTTTACTTTTTTTGACTTCTCTTTTTTACTTTTTTTTTTTTTACCTTTCTTCTTTTTTTCTTTTTTTCTTTTTTCTTTACTTTTCTTTTTTCTTTACTTTTCTTTTTTCTTTACTTTTCTTTTTTCTTTACTTTTCTTTTTTCTTTACTTTTCTTTTTTCTTTACTTTTCTTTTTTCTTTACTTTTCTTTTTTCTTTACTTTTAATGTGCCCGTCTCCGACTTTCAGTTTATTCTTGTCTTCATTCTCTCACTCAGTTTCTTTGCAGGTCGTGTGAAAAATGAATAAAATACCCCTGCATTTTTTTTTTATTTATTTATTTATTTATTTTTTTTTTTTTTTTTTTTTTTTCAATACAGTACTTTTTTTTTTAATTGTCTGCTTTGGGGGCCCATTTTTTAAAAAAAAAAAAAAACACCCCTATTGTTTGTGTGTTTTTTTTTGTTTTTTTTCCATATCTTCTCCCCCCTACTTGAGTTTTTTTGTTTCCTCACACCCTTCGATTCGACTTTTTCTTTTTTTTTCCTTACCCACGTAAGATTTTTACCGATGGTAATTTTTCGCTGGTAATCAATCCCCAATTAATTGTAATAATTCAAATTAAACAAATCTTAATTAGATCAGAATAAAGTAATTTTTTTTTTTTTTTTTTACAAAGATCTATTTACCTTAGAAAAAAAATGACCCGATACTGAACAGTGAGTGAACATGTTTCGTTTTTGCAAGCCGAGGTAAACTAAACATCCTCGGCTGATCACGTGATAATGCGACTTAACATTAATGCTTGTAATTGTAAAATCAACACGCTTGACAGCAGTTTTTAAAGATTTTAAAATGTTATCCAACCAACTTACTTCATTAAAAAAAAAAAAAGTCTCGCTATCATACTTCTTTTAATAGAAAGTTATAAATTTTAATTTAAATTATAAAACTTTTTAATTCTGCTGTTTTTTTTTTTTCTATTCTCCCCCCCCCCCATATCCGACTAGGAGAAATTGAACTAATGACCGCTGAGCGAATCGATTTGCTTAACCAAGCACAGCCATGTGGCAAATATAATTATTAAAATAATACTAAGAAAGTAGTGTTACTGTTATATATATATATATATATATATATATATATATATATATATATATATATTCGCAATGATTTCTTAAAAAAAAACGGGAGGGGTGTCTGTCTTTTTTTTTTTTTTTTTTTTTTGTGAAACGAAAAGATACAGCTCAGGAAAAAAAAAAAAACTTGGTGAAATAATGAATTTATTTCTTTTTAATTTCCCTATAAAACGTGTTGAAATCCTGAAAATGAAAATTTCCTTCCAATCTAATGGTTCAATTAATTAATGCCTCCAGTCTAAAAAGTTTTCCCCCACTCCTCTTGTCCAAAATCGCCTTTCTATTCTCTTCTATCCTTAATTAACAACCCACCTTTTTTTGTGAACACATTTTTAGACCTACGCTGCACTGAGACTGAAAAAAAAACTGATTTTTAACAATATTTTGTACACGTCTGGATTCTCAAAAACGCTCCCCCCCCACGCACACTTTCCTACATCAAAAATCTATTCTAAGATGATGAGAAAAGATGCCACCTCATAGTCAAGTTATAAACTTAGTGCATTTGACACTAGTGGCGAGTTAAAGTATGTCTGTTTCCATCCGTAAGAAGTCCCGTTATCAAATCTTTCTTGATAAATATTAAGCAGCGGCTTGCCTGCCTATTCGTTCATTGATATATCTCTGGATAAGTTTAAGTGCTCTGTCCTCTTAGGGCAGATTTTTCTCATTTCTAACTAAATTGTACATTAAGATAGATTTGATTTCTGAATTGTGATTCTCCTAGAGAGGCCTACACTGTTTGAGTGTTTGTTAATCAAGGTTAGAAAACCCAGTCCATCCACTGGGCTAATTCACCCATAGGTGGGTGGCTTAAACATCCTTCTTTCAGTTGGAAATTGAACTCTGCTTACCATGGCCATATTCTGAACTGTTTACCATTAATCCACCCCTTTCTCTCCATACCAATTCCTCAAGATAGGCTTGTCATAACTTGGTGCTTGGCACGTGGGTGGTACCAGAGATTGGTCTTTGTACGTCCTTTTTGGGACACCACAGACCTAAGGGATTTCCACCCGCTTTTACCTTTCCTATGGCGGAGGTGCTACTTATTATCATCATCATCCTCATCATTATCATGATTATTATTATTATAATCCTTAAGGCAATCTGGTGAAATTGTTTCCTGTGTGCCTTCTCCATGGTTTTTGATTTCAATCATCTTTCTCCTAAACTGGCTGCCACTTGAGAGACCAGGCTACTCTAATATTTAACCCATAGCCAGAGGGTTGAGAAAAATGTCTGTTATGGCTCGTGTATTGGCTATGACCTTCACCTTGCTATTATTTTAACAATACATACAATGTTACTTGATAAGTCTTTATAAAAACTGATATTTATTTTTATACTTCTGTTCACCCAATACAAGGCCAAAAAGTCAGTCAAGGTAGTGTTACTGAATGCAATTGTTGGAGGCATGAAAATATACTCACCTATCATGTGACTTTTGAAGCTAATTTTAAGTGGGGGGGTCACATCATACATAAGATATAAATTTAACATATGTACTGATGACCCTGGTTATGCCAAACTATATATCCATTTACTGTAGTCAAATTAGCCTCAAAATTAGGTCTTCAAAGGTCACATGATATGTGACCTTATACAGTACATATAAGGATACAAGGATAGATAATGGTTGACCTCAGAGTTAAAGAGGTTAATTATTAGGAAAGTATTCTCTCGGGAGTCTGTTCCTTAAAATTTCAATTCTGGGAAAGAAGTTGCCTAAGTAGAACTTCATGCTTACCAATGGAATATGAAGCGAATATAAAGTTCTGAACCAGTGGAAGTAAGGAATCTAGCTTGTCTGAACATTTAACCGCAACCTTTATGGTAGGCTTTCTTATAAAGTTCTTTGGCTTTTGAACACTTCAGAGCCTGAGTTTCTTTAGAAACTGCCTTGCGTTATTGAAATTAGACTTTACACACGGGACCTGTCTCCTCTATCTTTGCCCAACAGTGAAAGCAAAGGGTTTAGAGGGCTTCTTGTTGTAATCGGCTTGATACAAACTGTTTTATTTGGAGTCTTATATACAGAGATAAATTTAGCATCTTGGCATCTTCATGTAAAGTGATATTTAAAAAAAAAAAAGTTGTGTATTAACCACTGTCTTATATTTAATGTGGCTGATTCATCATGGAAATAATTCTAAAGAAACGTTTTAGGGAATTCTATCTAATATGCAACCGCAATATTTATTTATTTATTTAATTATTTTTTCCCCTCACCAATATATCTTTGAACATATGATAAATGCCTGATAAAGTAAGCTTTTAATATCTAATAGGTTTACGGTTATATCACATTGAAACGCCAGTTCTCCTATGATTACCAAAGTTAAGCAGCATTGAGCCTGGTCAGTACATAGATGGGTGACTGCTTGTGAATACCAGGTACTGTAAACTTGGATGTGCAGGTGGTGTAATAGATAATGGCTTGAAATTGGAGAACAGTTCCAATTCCAGTTGGGTTTGTGGTATTCACTTATGCACAAATACCCTTGAGAAAGGTATGAATTCTCTCCCCTAGATATGGATTAATTAGTAGGGTTTATATCAGTAAATTATCATTGTCTCAAAAAAAAAAACTTTTACAGTCTAAAATATTTTCTGGGTTTAAATAACCCGCAAAAGGTTCATAGGCTGGTGGGGTGTGGGAATCATTATCTAAAGTAAGATAATTACATTTTTTTTTTTTTTTTTTTTTCTCCTCCGTTCAATCTGATTTATATAATTCAGGTAGCACTTGATTCAATGTTGTTTCAGGCATCTTCTGAGAACTGACATATAATACCTTTTATTTAATTGTATAAAAACAACAATCGATTATGTGGACATTAGTGGAGAATCATTCTAGTCGACTTGAGTCTACCTATTGGCTGGGATAGTACCTCACCAATCCCGCAGTCATTACTCTAGATAATCTAACACTATTTGTCTATATTTCTAAAATAACAAAAATTACAATATGAGCTCTGGTGAAAACATGTAATGATAACAGCAAAAATTACAATATGAGCACTGGTAAAAAATGATTGCTAAAGACATTAGGTTTATAATACCTAGAAATCCATACACAAATGCAAGGCGTTAGTTAGATCCAGTGACAGGACCCAAAGAGTGAGAGTTCAATACCCGGTTAAGGCAGTGGAGAACTTTCAGAGGGTAATTAACAGAAGATAACTGATATCCATTAAACATGGCACGTGGAACTAGAGCCCCAGTGAGCGAAATAAAGGATTCAATTCAACATTCCAACCACCTGAAGAAGGCCAGAGTGTGCAACAGCCAAAACGTTATAATAAAAATGGCGACAAAGATGAGGACAATAGTTCAAATAATGTAAATAGTGAATCTAACACTAATTTTTTTATAAAAGAAATTTCAGCTTTCTTCAGTTGATGCAGGGACCTGTCTCTACTCTTTTCATGGTGCTATCTACATCAGCTGTTCTTGAGTACTTACAGAAGACAGAAAATGCAACACTGAAATCCAGCGGTGCATTGGTATAGTGAAAGTTGCCTTTCAAAAGCTAAGTAAAGTATTAAGAAACAGGGAAAACTTTATTAAAAACAAAGAGTACTGAACTATTATGTAATATCGGTTCTTCTCACAAATGATACAAAACTTGAAGCAACAGAAATGTGGTTCTACAGAAGGATGCTGAGAATATCATGGACTGAATGCATAAGCAACAACAAAATTTTTAGAGAAAATGAAAAGGATACTTATACATAACATCAGAAAGAGACAGTTGAAAAATTCTAGGGCACATAATGAAGAAAGAAGGCTTGGAAAATTTGCTACTCACAATCAAGGGACAGAGGAAAATAGTGTGTAATTTAGCTAACAAGCTTTGGTAAATGGTTAGCAGCACAGGGATTAGCAAATATAGCAAAGACAGATTTTACTAAGAGCTACAAAGGACAGGAAATTGTGGATAGCCATGATCGCCCACACACTGAAGGGACATAACACTTGGAAGAAGGGATTTCTACTTGTCTTCTGTGCATCATTATTATAACCTGCTAATGTTTGGCTCCAATGAATACAGGAAGTGCTTCTCATGGTATGAAGCATAAACATCATACATTTTCTAGAACAGATAAGGTACAACTTTTGAAAAAAAACTTGACAGTATTGTGACTGCACAGCTAGTGCAATTTATACAGCATTGGCCTAAAGAAATATTGATTGCTGAAGTTTTTTTTTTTTTTTTTTTTTTTTGTTATTTCCTCAGGAACCAAATGTGTATACACCAACAGAATTACCTATAACTTGTATTTTACCTGAACAGGAGTAGATTTATCACTCGTTTCCTGTTTAGGATTGGGTTTTCAGTTCTCTTTAAAGTCTACTTTAACTATATACTTCTAATGTTTCTGCTGAAACCCTGAAATTTTATTTACTATTCAGTTTTTTTTTTTTTTTTTTTTTTCCTTCAATAGGAGTAGATTGGTTCACCTGTCATCCTCTTCACATACCTACCTTGTTTTTTGAACAGGAGTAGACATTTATCTCTTGTTTCCTTTTTAGGGCTAGGTTTCTGATGCCTTCTAAAGTCTTTTCCTTTTGTTTCACTCCCAGTAACCCCTTGCATTTTAGTGGTGTTATTGCCTTGCTTGGTGTAAATTGATTCTTTTTCTTTTTTCTTTAAGTGGATTCTGTTTTCACTTTGAAAATGACAATGATGTTAGTTTCTTATGCAAGTCAAAAGAACTACTTGTAATCTCTATTTTCGACAGGTTTCATATTAAGTTTCAGCCATTTTTTTTTTTTTTTTTTTTGTACTTTAAGCAACATGTGCTGATTTGCAAAGTATTTTAAAGTTAAGATGAAGTAGTTAACTATTGGTTTAAGTATATTCTAATATAACCAAACTGGCAAATCTACAAGTCCTGATGAGGTGAGATTAGTGACAGGCAACTATAAGTTGGCCATTTCTCACTAGTGCCAGAAATATTTTCAAACCTGGTAATAAAACCAGGATTTTTTAAGTCCGTTCCCTTTAAAGAAGATAAAGGATAGTTAGTTCACTGTTTTGTTTGAAAAATTTTCTAGCCAGAATCTCTCTCTCACCTTTAAAGTCTACCATGCATTGAATACACCTGCCACATTTGTTCTGGTGCTTCTGCTTTGTATAATAAATTCAACGGAGAATCTGCAACACTACTTACATTATTTGGACTATTGTCCTCATCTTTGTCGCCAGATTTATTACAACATTTCGGCTGTTGTACGCTTTGGCCTTCTTCAGTTGGTTGGAATGTCGAACTAAACCCTTTATTTCGCTCACTGGGGTAGACTGTTCTAGTTCCACATGCCATGTTTAATGGATGTCAGTTATCTCTTGTTAATTCCCCTCTGAAAGTTCTCCACTTACACTCTTTTGGGTTCTGTCACTGGATTTAACTAACGCCTTTATCCACTGTGCTATGTGTCCTTGAGGACATCTGTGTATGAATTTCTGGGTATTACAAACCTAATGTCTTCAGCAACTATTTTTCACCAGTACTCATATTGCAATTTTTGCTGTTATTATCACTTTTATCTGGCACCCCTTATTACTGGTTCCCATATTGTATTCATTTCTGTGCTTGCTCAGCTCAGATTTTGTGGCCTAGCAGTGGAGAACTTGGAGAGGGGAATTAACAGGCGATAACTGATAACTGGCATCCATTAAACATGGCACGTGGAACTAGAACAGTCTACCCTAGTGAGCGAAATAAAGGGTTCAGTTTGACATTCCAACCACCTGAAGAAGGCCGGAGCATACAACGGCCAAAATGTAATAAATATGGTGACAAAGATGAGGACAATAGTCCGAATAATGTAAATAGTGTACATAATACCTCATCTCAAAAATATAGACAGATACTGGCAAATCTGCAATGTTGTCAGCCCTCAGACAAGGGCAATAACTATGATATTAACACACCTATTGCAGATTATTCAAAGTCAGAAAACATTTTTAGATTGTAAGAATTTGTTTTAATACGTTTACTGATAAAAATCCTATGAATTAACAGCTGGGGGGAGGAGGTAGATTTATACCTTTCCTGTGGGTATTCCTGTGTAAGTTAACATAATGAACCCAACTGGAATTGGAACTCGGCTCGCCAATTTCCAATTCTGAGCCTTTATCCACTTGCGCATCTAAACTTACAGCACCTGGTATTCATAAGTGATCACCCATCTAGGTACTGACCAAGCTTGATGTTGCTTAAATTTACTGATTGTTCAAGATCCAGTGTTTCAACATGACATAATTAGAAGCTAGTGAGCGTGTTAAGTCTCAGAAATTGCCAACATCTTTATTACATAGTGTGTTCTTCAGTGTGGCTGTCTGAACAACAGATTTCATAATTACTGGAATAAGTCTATGCATGTTTGTTTAACCTGTCTAAAATTTATGCTTGAGTTCCTAATGTATGCTGCAAAAAATATGTAAAAAGCTTTACCGATGTCATTTCATTAAGGATACTTTGTAAAAACAAAAAGGCATCAGTCCTAAATTTCCTTCCTGTGAATAATCCAGCCTTTGAGTTCTGATCAAGCTTGACAACAGAAAAACTAAATGATTCATCATTAGTTTTTTTATTTATTTTATTTTATTTATTTTTTTTTTGTATGCATTTTTTTGCTTTTCTTTCTGTCACTCTTCATCATATCTCTCAGCCAGTCTGTGGCTATTATTAAACAGAGATCAGAAATAACAAGTCTCCAGAGAGATTTGAACATCCTTCAGTATCCAAAGAATATGGGTTTAAATGCTTCTTTGGGCTTCTTCTTCATTTCCAATCTGTATTTCTAAGAGAATGGCATTATTTTTAAATAGGCTTGTCTGATTGAGACTTTCATGTGGATGTCATGCATGGCACCAGATTAATTCTGAAATATTTAAACTATCATCTATATGCAACCACTTTCTCAGATTCTTGATTAACAATGGCTTCAAGCAAATGAAGTCTGTAGCTCTTAATAAGGCTCATACTTCATTGAACCTTGTGAACTGGCACTACAGAATTGCAAAAAACTGTGCCAAATAAGAGAAATCACATTACTTGAGGGCATTCACCAACATCTAAAATTTTTTTGTCCTTAGCCAATATGCATAAGTATGCGTATAGCACTCTCGAAGTTAAAACAACCCTGTGTCTCATCCAGCCTTTGTCAGGAGGCCAGGTGAATATTCTATAACAAACATTCATCTTTATTAATGTATGGCTAGTTGTCAGAAGAAAGTTTTAATATCAATGCAAAGACTGTTATTAGAATGTGATAAAGTATAAAAATTTTAACTCGCTACTAAATCTAAATTCTTGTGCCAAACACAAAAACCTTGTTAGTAGGAATAGAAAGATAAAAGAGAATACCTGCTTCTCTTCTTCTCCTTCAGGTCA